TGAAATTGGCTAGGCATCCATCAACAGATGCGTGAAGAAAGTAAATATGGCATATGTACACAATGGAGTATTATTCAACCATAAAGAAGAATGAAATCCTGTTTCAAGAAAAATGGATGAAACTGGAAGACATCATGTTTAGCAAAATAAGCCAGGCACAAAAAGACAAGTATCAGTTTTCCTTTAACATGTGGAAAATAAAATTTTTTTAAAAGTTGATCTGGAAGTAGAATAGCGATTACTGGGGTTGGGAAGGGTGCCTGGGGTAGAGGGAGAGATGGTAGAAGAAGGGTAGTTGGATAAGATCAATGCACACTGTGCATATGCATGGAAATATCACACTGAATCCACAGCTAATGTGTTAATTAATAAAACCTTTTTTAAAAGAAAAAGAAAACTTCACAGCCTGAATCACGGGAACAAGGAAGAAGAGTCTTTCCATGCCCTAGCTGCCCACTTTAGTGTAACTTAGGCCTGCCCCAGAGACCCACCAACCTGAAACTAGGATTAACTGTGTCCCAAACTGCTAGCTTCCTCAGGCGCCTGACAAAAACAAATTGTTTCTGAAGGATTATTTCTACAGATAATTTTTCATTATAATGCTCAACACAAAACCAAAACTGATTGGTAACATGGAGATATGACACTAAGATTAAAAACACATACATTTAATCAACAAGCACAAAAAACCAAACCAATTCAAAGAATAGCTGAAGTACACTTGCAAAGTCAGAGAAATGGACATCATACTGGAATATGACCACATGAAACTAGAAACTACAAAAAAAGATGCGTGGAAAGATTTTATAAGAACCAAACAGAAACTTGAGAACTGAAAGATAAACTTTGGTACCCAAGGAATTTCTGATCTATTTCAGTGGTAAAAACTTAAATTTGTGCACTTTTTGCCTCCACAGGGAGAGGCGTGTGTCAGGGGGTGGCTGGTATCATAGGAAAGGGAGAAGCATCAACCTGAGTGGGAGACACGGTGCCCAGAATGAACATGTTGCTAGGTGTGTGTGATGGTGAGACGAGCCTTTGGATGGTGGATTCAGTAAAGGAGACTGTCCTCTTCCATGTGGTTGTCATCACCCAAACTGTCAGGGAGACTTGAATAGAACCAAAGACAGAGGAAGGAAGAATTTACCCCCTTTTTCCTGCCTCACAATTTAACTGAGACTTCCCACCTCATTGTGCCCAGTTCTTGGACTGGGATTTACACCACTCACTCTGGTTCTCAGGCCATTAGACCAGGGCTAAATTACGCCAGGAGCTTTCTGGGGTCAAAATCATGTGAGCCAATGCCCCATAATTAGTTAATAAATTAATGATACTTCTTTTTGGTTTTGTTTTCCAAAGAACACTGACAATACACTTAGGCTTTTTCTTCCTCACTTTCCTAGATTATATTAGTACTCACAAAGCATAAATGATTTGCCATAAAACTCAGCTTTACTTTGTGTGCAGGCCTGCTTTTATAATAACAGTTTACTCACTTCTATATGTATGATGTCCTAGTAGCAGCACCTCATTTTCTAATATCCCTGGAAATAGCTTACTTTTTCAAACTTCAAAAAACTAATGTTGTACACACGACTATCATCTGTAAGAGCCCTGTGAGGTGAACACAGCAGGTACCATTCACTCCCTGTTTTCCGAGAGGCAGACCACAAGTGCTCATGATCACAAACAGCCTCCTCAACACCAGCTCTTTGATTACGGATCCTGTTTTCTTCCCGTTACTACCATAATCTAGAATGATACCTTGCTACACTTTGGTAAACCTTCCAGTCATCCTATAACGCTATTTTTAAAAGGTCCTTGTACTGCAATAGGTAGTCATGCAAGCACGGCCATGTGGCTGACTGTCCCTAATGTGAGGTCAATCTTAGTTTCTGTGGATTTGGGCAGTGGCCCTCCCTTGCTAATCAGTGATAGGAGGAGGTGGGGATCATTTTACTCCAAGAATATGACTCATATTCTCAGAGCAAAAATGATGGAAATTTTCACGATGATTTTGTACTTGCTCTCTCCTAATAAAGACCCTAGCCTGGCTTTCTTTGTAGACCCCAATAACCAAACCCCCCCCCCCCAACCCTACCTCTCCCTTATAGAGATGATGCCTCCCTGTTCAAAGAAAAAAGACCTTCAACAAACTAAAGGCCCAAATATCTTCACAGGTGGAAAGCACCTTTTAAGAAATCTAGGCAAGCAGGAAATAATTCTATCATATTTATCATTATTTTTCTTTTTTTTTCCCAAAAAACATTACATCTTCTTCATTGTAACATCAACAAAAGCAAACAAAAAAAAATAGAGAGAGAATTACCATATAAAAACATCAATATTTTAGAAATATCGCTGCTATTGGGATGCTAGCTTATCTGGTCATCATTCTTTTTTTATTTATTATTGTGCTGGATGGGGGTACATTGTGGCATGTACAAAAGTTCTTACAATGTATCAAATATATCATACTTGAATTCAGCCCTCCACCACTCTCTTTTCGTTCTGTTCTCTAACACCTTTTTTAAAGCCAGCACCACCGGAAGAAAGAAAGCTTTCTGGCAGCACAGGGCTGCATCAGCCTACACAAGTCCCTGCACCCCGGGTGTGGTGAGAATGAGCCCCATCTCCTGCATCTGGAAGCAGCCAAAACCCTCTTCGCCTGGCACCAAGGATTCATTACTTAGCTAGCCAGCTTGAGTTTTTATCCCCCCGCAACTTCCCATTTTACTGATATTGTTTGGGGTTCAGTGTGTTCACTTACATATCTTGAAAAATATCTTTTGAGCTAGGTCTGTTGGTACGTGCCTGTAATCCCAGCCTTTGGGGGGTGGGGGCAAGAGAATCAAGAGTTTGAGGCCAGCCTGGGCTATATACTGAGACCCTGCTTATAAATCAACTAATTAATTAAATAATTAAAATACCTTTCTATGAGTGGTTCAAGTGGTAGAGTGCCTGCCTAGCAAACGTGAGGCCCAGAGTTCAAATATCTTTCTATGAAATCACAGCAAGAAACTTTTCCATTAAACATGTTATGCCTATACATGTACACACACAGCTCTGTTTTTGTTTTTGATACAGACCAAGACCAAGCAGAACGAAAAAAACTGCAAATCTCATAGGATCTTCTTGATTTAAAAGAGCAATAAATTGGACGACTAAGTGACTGTATAACTGATGTTGGAGAAAATAAAGAAAAATGTGGCTTTGCATATTTCATCATATTAAGATGCCATATAGGTAATTACTGGACCTAAATATTTTGCTGAAGCTAACAAAATTTGCAAAAAAAATGTGATACTACTACGCTTTAGAATATACAATGGAATTTGATTTATGCATATATATATATATATAATATATATATATATATATATATACATATTTTTTTTTCTTTCCAGGGTTTGAACTCAAGGCTTTGCACTTGCTAGTCAGGCAATCAGCTTGAGCCACACCTCCTGCTCTTTTTGCTCTGGTTATTTTGGAGACAGGGTCTCGCTTTTTGCCCAGGCTGGCCTTGACTGTGATCCTCCTGTTTCAGGCTTCCAGCCTCACAGGGATGACAGGCATGCACCACAATACCCAGCTTTATTCCATTGAGTTGGGGTCTCACGAACTTTTTTTGTCTGGGCTGACCTGGAACTGTGGTCCTCCTGATCTCAGCCTCCCAAATAGCTAGAGTTACATGCATGAGCCACCAGCTCTCAGCTTTAAAAACATTTTAAGTACAAAATTCATATTGAAGGAAGAACTCACTAGTCAATTCACACGATGATCTGGTGAGAGATGGACAGGAGTGCTCAGCATTTGGTAGAAAGGCAAGCTAGATTAGGTGATAGAGTGAAGGTCATTCAAAATACATTGCTACCTGAAAGGAATTGTGCTCTGACCACCCTGAGCCTCGTCCGTCTTCTTTCATTCTCTACCACTTGAGCTACACCCCCGACCTTTGTTTTCATTGTTTGTTTATGAGACAAATTCTCACTACTTCTGCCCAACCTGGCCTCCAACTTACCATCCTCCTGCCTCTACCTCCAGAGTAACTGGTATTATAGGCAGCACCTCCATGCCTTGCTTGGTGCATATTTTTATCTGGACAATGATTTCATGGGTACATCAAGTTTAACAGGTAAGACATATACTTTATATGTGTTATGCTTCAATGTAAAAGAGACACGGAGAGAGAGCCAGGGAGAGAGAGAGAAAATAGAGGGAATAAAACAAAGAAATCTGAGAAGATTCATAAAACCTGTTTCTAATCCATATAAACCTGAGTCTCATGTGTTGAATTCAGCAAAGAAATCTCTCCTCTGTTTTTGATAAGAAAGAATGATGGAGCCAAGTATGCTGGCTCATGCTGTAATCCCAATACTTAGGAGGTTGAGGCAGAAGGATTGTGAGTTCCAGGCCAGCCTAGGCTATGAGACCCTGTCTCAAAAAAATTCAAAAATGCAGGGGAGGGGGGGCAAGAGGAGGAGAAAGGGAGAATGCATATTTCCAATGGAGTTTGGAAAATTACATTCAATGACTAAAATTTGATTTTCTCAACTCTTCACTAAAACCTAACCAACCACAGGAGTCTGTTCAAACATTTCTAAGGGAAAATTTGCAGAATTAATTGCTTTGGAAATGCACACAAAAAACATGACCCTAAACTCAGAAATTCCTTTATCTTCTCTCCACCAAATCATGTGAATGGATGTAGCTATACAATCCTATAACTGCTAAGTGCTAACTACATTTTTCATTGTCCCATGAAAATTCGGTATTGTTACCGAAGTTTTGGTATGTTTTTCCAATTAAGTGCCTCTTTTCTGAAAACTTAACAGTTTGAAGACGTGAGTACTTTTATTATGCACCTCAATAAGCTCAAGAGTTTAACATTAATAACCAAACCCAAGGAGTTGTCATAGTTTTGCTTTGCTAGCGACAGCAGAAATACACAGAAATATATCGCCTCCCACTCCCAGAAAGAGCACATAAATCTAAATGACTTACTATGATGTGCTGATAAGGATCTATAAATGACATTTTGGTTTCAACTTCAGAAATTTTCACACTTCAAAGGTCTTCTCTGGCACTCTATCTTCTTTAAAACCTGCAAAATAAACAGTCGCCATTGTTAAGCTTCCTCTTGGATACAGTTCCAAGATCTAATTGATGACGAGTTTGTGCCTTAGGAAGGGCACAGATGGATGGAGCTCCGTAACTATGCAGAAAAATGGGCATGCACACATGACTTAGGGGAAAAGTAAATATATTTTGATAGTACTGTTTACTTTCCATGTTTATTTGTTCAAATTTTTCCCGCAATTATTAGGAAATCACAGGGGTTTTCTGTTTTCACTTGCCAAGTGTTTCAGGAGCCACACATTCAAATTACAGAAAATTTAAATTATCTTTGGACTTTTTGTAATTAAATAGTAGATATTGTTTGTTTCCCTCAATTGGTCAGCACTAGACACACTCACAATACGAAAGAAAGATTTTCCATGTTAGCTATTTATTAGGAATTTTTAAAACACATTCATGTTGAATTTGAACTTTACTAGTGGAATTTGACAGAAATATCTTTTTATTCTGAGGCATAAGTTCACACTGGAAGCAATTAAATAAAAATATTTCATGGAAAAGCACTGTATACTTTTTTCTTCTACAGTTCATCCACATTATTTAAATTAAAGTAGAAACTATTCAATAAACATCTTTGCTACTGCATCATAAATTTGTAACTTTCAAATTTTACAATATGTACTTGCATTTCAGCATTCTATAAATCATATCTAATTTAGAACATCTTTTCAGATATCTTTGCTATATTTAATGTGTATATTCTAAAATGTCATTCAGAATGACTCAAATTTGTTAAAAGTTTTTAAACTAGCCTCATTTTACACATCACTTTTTAAAAATATATAAAGTTATTTCTACTCATTGGTATAGGCACAAACTGCAGAAGTAAATAAAGAATAAAGGAAATCATTGTTTTCATTTTGATATAGACCTTACCATCAATGAATATTCATATATTTAGAATATTCTCTCTTTCAGGGTTTTTTTTTTTTTTTCAAATGGGATCTCCTCATATGCTTTTAGTTCTTGGTTTTGAAAACTCATTTCAGGAGAAATGGCCCAAACAAAGTATGCACATATGAAGAAATGAATAAATTTAAAAAATTTAAAACCTCAAAAAAAAAGAAAACTTATCTCCTTCATATTTTTATGTGACAAATAAGAAGTAGTGTTATAAGAAAGGTAAAAATCACACACAGGACCTTATTTTAAAATTGTGGAAAATAAGAATCTTCCCTTAGGTCAGCAGAGTGGCTCAAGCCGTAAGAGCACCTGCCTAGCAAGCATGAGGCCCTGAGTTCAAACACCAGTACTGCTAGAGGAAAAATAAAAGAAAGAACCTTCCCTCTTCTCCTCTTCTTCATTTTACCTATCAATCATTTTTACTTTTTTATCAGAAAAAAAGTAAACAGGCTGGCAGAGTGGCTCAAGTGATATAGTACCTTGATTAGCAACCATGAGGTCTTGAGTTCAAACTCTAGTACTACCGAAAAAGAACAACAAAAAAACCCTATTTTTAACATAAAACATCTGTTTACTTTAATCATTTACTTCTTAAGCTCCCAAGGTATGAATATTTTTACCTGTCATTAGGCTGCATACGTACACAGCATTTTAAATCAATTTTTAACCAAGATAAGTCAAACCATTATTCTGATTTTATCTTAATAAATCACTACGATCTTTGTTTTGCATTTGCACATTTGCTAACTTAAAAATAGTAGAAAATTCTAATGGTAATATTAGCCAATCACCAATTACCTCTGCACTATAGTTTGAATGCTTTGCACCTCCAAAATTCATATTGCAGTTTAAGTGCTAATATTACTATATTAGGAGGTGAAGGCTGTTAAGAGGTGATGAGGCCGTGGGCCTTAACACCTTTACACATGGGCTCATGGAGGAAGAATCTCCTGGCTCTCCCACCTTCAGCCATGTGAGGATTCAGCCCTCTTCTACTCTGAAGGACACAGTGAGCAAGAAAATGACTTCTTCAAACACCAAACCCACTATCACGTGAACCTGAGACTTTTCAGTTCCCTAAACTGGGAGCAACAGTCAAGGGTATTCTGATACAATAGCACAAAACCGACAGAGATAGTCAGCGGCCACATTTCTGTCACTTTTTAGAATTGACTGTTATTGCCGTTAACTTCCAGGTTCTTTCCAGTGAAGCCCTCCAAGATCATATCATTTAAAACTGGCAGAGACCCTAATTTTCTTGCTTTATCACCGTGTAACACTGACTGTATCATTTTCCTTACATTTTTGTCTCTTTCCTCCTCCCTTTCATTAACATCAGGTCCATGAAGACAGATGTTTTTCTGTGTTTTATTCATTGTGAAATTTCTGGCTCTTGTGTAGGTACAGAAGGGTACTTAATACATACTTGTTAAATGAATGAAAGAATGAGTGAATTAATGAATGGGAGAATATATTTATATTAGTAAGATGAACTGTTTTCAAGCCTAGTTATTCAACATTTTAATCAAGCCAAAAAGAACCTCACTTAAAAGTTTTATCATCCTTATCTCTAACCATCTCTTCTACACTATCTGTATTAGTTCATTTCTTTGTTATAATGAAATTCTTGAAAACTTATAAAGAAAAGAGGTTTCTTTTGGCTTATGATTTTGCTCCAAGGCTGTAGGTCCGTATCTGCTAATGGTCTTCTTGTAGAGTCCCAAGACAGTACAAGACATCACACGGCAAGAGACAGACAGGGTGTGTGTGTGTGTGTGTGTGTGTGTGTGTATGTGTGTCATCTTCGGTTCTATCTCTTTTTATAAAGCCACCAGATTTCAATCATGAGGGCTCCATCCTATTGATCTTACCTAACCCTAATCACTTCCCAAAGACTCCACCCTTAAATATCACAGTCAAATTAAATTACCACCCTCTTATTACCTCACAATGGGGACTAAATTCCAACCTGAGTTTCAGAAGAGACAAACTCTATTCAAGCCTTAATGCCATTTCTGTCTGTTAACCAATACTGGCATTGGTTTCTCTTTTTTCCTCTTATTATTTTCCCCTAATTAACTATGTAATACTAACACAATAACATGACAATTCATTTACTACTGCATTAATCTTTGCCTTTGGATAGCCTCTAAGTAGTCTTGAAACTACTTTTTGGATCGAAGAAATGACAGCATTAAAAGATACAAGCAAAACTACATATAATTGGTCACTATATTTGTACTTGAATTTGTCATACTATCTACGTCAGGCAATGTGATCCTAACTACTTAGCACTCCCCATTGTCAGGTTTTCTGAGCTATTGTTATTGCATCTCATTTGGAATGATTAACAATGACCTGGCCTACCATTACAGCTGATGTTTCTCTGCTGATTTATTCAAGGTATGCCTACATCAGTTCCAAATCAGAACACACTAATACTCTAGAGCTGCTGGTGGAACTTCTATATGACACAATATAAAAGCTCCCTGCCTCATTCTCACCCTAACCATCCACATTTCCCCAATATCATCATCTCCCCCCAGAAGTGAAGTCATTTCTTAATATGAATCCTTCTTCCTAGTGTGTTATTACAAAGCTCTTGAACTAAAGAACCTTTAGATTGCTGTAAGAGTCATGACCTGAGAGGCACACTCTCCCTTTGAAAAACAACTGGATATGGGATCAGAAAGGCCCTAAATCAAAGGGCAGTTTTACACTCTGAGAGCCAGGTTATTTTCCCATAAATGTAAATGGTACTATACTTTAAATATTATTATTAAAACAAGGACCAGATTAAAGATATCTATCCCATCAAGTAAGTTCCTCTTCTCAGAAAATGATCACGTTTCATCAATAACATCATAGATTTACTTGAAACATAGACTATCTATATGATCACGTTTCATCAATAACATCATAGATTTACTTGAAACATAGACTATCTATTATAAAGATTTTTGTGACGGTGGAAAATAGGAAGAATTTAATGGAGTTTCATCCAACAAATACTTACAATATACTCTGTAGTACTCAAGGTGCTTGGGAGAAACTAGTGAACCCAACAGATGAGCATTATGACATTCTGTGCCCCTATCACCTCTGTATTTGATAGCGTCACATAGACCAGCCATACAATCAAATGTTCTAAAGTCATTCAATTCACAAAAAGTAGCTTTGTGAATTGTTTTATAAACATTTGTTTACAAACATCTGTTCATTCATTCAACAAATACATCTTTGCTAACTGTGCAGTCTATACCAGGCACTAGGAATTCAATGGCAAGTAAGGCACAGCTCCTGCCTCTGGAAATACAATGAAAAATCAAGAGGTGATAATAAATGCAGCCTATTTTGATATCCAATGCTCATAGGTTGCCAAAAACAGTAACACTTTCAATGATTAAAATGTCTTCAGCTGGAATTTTGAAACCTCTATTGAAACAATTTTCCCTGAGTTCTTATTCTTGTAGTAGAAAATCAACATGGTCTACACACCACAGCTTTCATTCCTACCTACTGCAAACCAAAGCAGGAAAACCTTTTTCTATCATAAAACAATACAATATGCACAAATATACATACCCACAAACATAAATCAGATATAGAAGCAAGTTTAATGTGATACTTTTTAAGTACAATATTCCCTGATTTATATTTCATTTGTTTAAATGCCAGTAGCAGCATTTAACTGGTTTGAAATATGCTGGTCTGAAAGACTTCAAGATTGTATTTCTACTTCCTCATTCCATTTCTCTCACTTTTTTTTTTTTTTTAATAGTGCTAGGCATTGAACTCAGGGCTCACACGTAATAGGCAAACTTTCTACCATGGAACTACATTTCCCATCCTTTCTCTTCTTTTCTTTCTATGTTACAACCTTGCTGGTTTTCTTTCCTTTTTTCAAATGTGTGGTGCTCTCTGTAACCAATCTTTTCTATCCATTCACTTATTTAGCAAACAGTTAAGTAATATATTTATTTGCTTTATGTCAGCCACTGTTCCAGGGTCTATGGAGGCAAAGTAATTGATTAGATAGCTTTAGGAAGAAATAATCCAAGA